CAGGGGAGGCGGCGGAGCCGCGTCAGGGGAGGCGGGGGAGCCGTGTCAGGGGAGGCGGCAGGGCCGCGTCAGGGGAGGCGGCGGGGCCGCGTCAGGGGAGGCGGCGGAGCCGCGTCAGGGGAGGCGGCGGAGCCGCGTCAGGGGAGGCGGCGGGGCCGCGTCAGGGGAGGCGGCGGAGCCGCGTCAGGGGAGGCGGCGGGGCCGCGTCAGGGGAGGCGGCGGGGCCGCGTCAAACAGGCGGCGGGGCCGCGATCAGGAGAGGTGGCGGGGCCGCGTCTGAGGGACAGCGGGGCCGCGAGGGAAAAGGCGACCCGAGGGGGGTCGCTAAAAAAAAGGCGCGCCTCGGGGCGCGCTTCGGTGGGCCCTAAAAAAAACGGTCCTAAGGCAGGACCCGCTCTATACCATGTGAAGCAAGGAAAACAGGAATGAAATGACTAAGGAAAGATTGGGTACAAATACAACCCTAGAAACCCTGTACCCCATATGTGCTACCCCACTATAGCCGACAGCAACTATGTCATATAAATCTGACAGAAGCGTCAAGTGCTGTGTAAGTGTGCGAATGAACTCAAACGAGTTCCTTGTGCATGGTAATAGGCTGCCATACCTGGATGAGTGTACAATCGGCGCCCCGCAAAATGCGAGACGATGAAGCGGTGACATGTTGTGCCCTGGCCTATCATCGCATTGTTTCAGGCCGTCAAGCGCACAAAGGCGTGTCGCTTGATGCGCAGTTCTGCGAATGATCTCAGACGAGTTCCTATGACAAGGTAAATGACTACAATACCTGAATGAGTGTAGAATTGGTGGTGGAGAAAACAGCGACACGACTAAGCATTGACATGTTGCGCCTTGAACTTTCCTCAAACATGTTCAGGCCGTTAAGCGCACAAACGCGTGTCACCTGACGCGTACTTGTGCGAATGACCCTAGACGAGTACCAATGACAATGTAAATGACTCCTAAACCAGAATGAGTGTAGAATTGGTGGCGGAGAAAGCAGCCAGACGATGAAACGGTTATATGGGGCGCCCCGACCTAACCTCGCACATGTTCAGGCCATCGGGCGCACAAAGAAGTGTGACGTGCTGCCCACGACTGCGAAGGAACTAACCGAGTTCATAGGGCATTGTACCAGGCTACAATTGTTGGCTGAGTGTAGAATCGGTGCTAAAAAAAACGCGAGACGTTGAAGCGGTGACTAGTTGTGCCGTGGCCTACCCTCGCACTGTTTCAGGCCATCAAGCGCACAAAGGCGTGTCACTTGATGCGTTGTTGTGCGATTGATCTCAGACGCGTTCCTTTGTGATGGTAAATGATTACCGTAGGTGAATGAGTGTTGAATTGGTGGTTCTTCGTTACAACTAGACGATTAAACAAAATCATGTTGTGCCCTGACCAATCCTCGCACACGTTTAGGCCATCAGACGCACAAAGAAGCGTCACGTGCTGCGTAGATGTTGGGAATCAACACAAACGAGTTCATAGGGCATGGTACAAGGCTAGAATTACTGAATAAGTGTAGATTAGGCGTTAGACAAAAACGCGAGACGATGAAGCGGTGACAAGTTGTGCCCTGGCCTATCCTCTAACTGTTATAGGCCGTCAGACGCACAAAGGCGTGTCACGTGAGGCATAGTTGTGCGAATGACCTCAGACGAGTTCCTGTGACAAGGAAAATGACTACAATGCTTGAATGAGTAAAGAATTGGTGGTGGGAAAGACAGAGAGACGACTAAACAGTAACATGTTGCGCCCTGACCTATCCATCGCACATGTTCAGGCCATCAGACGCAAAAACACGTGTCGCGTGATGCGTAAATGTGCGAAGGAACTCGAACGAGTTCCTATAGCATGGTAGTAGGCTACAATACCTGGATGAGTGTAGAATCGGTGCAAAAAAAAAACGCGAGACGTTGAAGCGGTGACATCTTGTGCCCTGGCCTATCCTCGCACTGTTCCAGGCCGTCAAGCGCACAAAGGCGTGTCGCTTGATGCGTAGTTGTGCGAATGACCTCAAACGAGTTCCTAACGCAAGGTAAATAACTACAGTTTCTGAATGAGTGAAAATTGGTGCTGGAAAAAACAGCGAGATGACTGAACAGTAACATGTTGCGCCCTGACATATCCTCGCACATGTTCAGGCCATCGGACGCACAAAGAAGTGTCACGTGCTGCGTACGTGTGCGACGGAACTCGAACGAGTTCCTAGAGCATGGTAATAGGCTAGGGTACTTGCATGAGTGTACAATCGTTGCTAACATAAACGCGAGACGTTGAAGCGGTAACATGTTGTGCCCTGGCATATCATATCATTTTTTCATGACGTCAAGCGCTCAAAGGCGAGTCACTTGATGCGTTGTTGTGCGAATGAACTCAGACGAGATCCTATGACAAGGTAAATGAATACAGTACTTGATGAGTGTAGAATTGGTGGAGGTGAAACAAGCAAGACGACTAAACGGTGACATTTAGCGCCCTGACCTATCGTCGCCAGGTTCAGACCTTCAAACGCAGATTGACGCGTCACGTGTTGCGTACTTGCTTGAAAGATCTCAAACGGTAGTCCTATGGCAATGTAATTGACTACATGTCCTAAATGAGTGTAGAATTGGTGCTTGGGATATTCGCGAGACGATAAAACAGTGGCATGGTGCGGCCTGGCATGCCCTAGCAAAGTTTCAGGCCATCGAACGCACAAAGAAGCGCCACGTGCTGCGTACTTGTGCGAATGAACTCAAACAAGTTTGTACAGCAAGGTAATTGACTATAGTACCTGAATGAGTGTGTAATTGTTGCTATGTGAAACAGCAAGACGTTGGTACGGTGAGATGTTGCGCCCTGGCCTATCATTGCACATGGTCAGACCATCAAACGCACAATGAAGGCTCACGGGCTGCGTACTCGTGCGACAGATCTCAAACGAGTTCCTTTGGTAAGCTAACTAACTGGAGTACCTACACGAGTTTTGAATGGTGCTAAAAAAACATATAGATGATGGAACGGTGACACATAACGCCCCGACCTATCCTCGCCCAGGTTCAGACCATCGAACGCACAATGAAGCGTCGCGTGTCGCGTACTTTTGAGACTAAACTCAAATCGAGTTCCTAAGGCAAGGTACTTGTATTCAGTACCTATTTTCTTGTAGAATTGTTGCTAGAAAAATCCGCGAGACAATGAAGCGGTCACATGTTGCGCCCTGGCCTATCCTCGAACTGTTTCAGTCGTCAGACGCACACAGGAGCGTCATTTGTTGCGTATTTGTGCAAATGACCTCGGACGAGTTCCTAAGACAAGGTTATTTCTTGAATAGAATGGGTGAGTGAAAGAGTGTGAGTAAAAAAACAAGCAGATACCCAATGAAATCGTGACATGTTGCGCCCTGACCTATCCATGCACAAGTTCTAGCCATCGAACGCTCAAAGAAGCGTCACTTGCTGCCTAGCTGTGCGGATGAGCGTCACTCCAGTTTCTGTGACAATGTAAATGTTTGAAATGCATGAATGTGTGAAGATTTGGTGCTAATATAATCTCCTAGATCATGAAACGATGTCCTCCTTCGTACTGGCCAATCATTGCATGGTTTCTGGCCAGCGACCGCACTACCAAGCGTCACGCGTTGCGTTGTTGTGTGGATCAGCTCAAACTAGTTGCTGCGGCAATGTAACAGAAAAACTTTCCGAATGTGATTTCACTCAATGGTGCTAGAGAAGCAGGTAGACGATGAAACTGTGACAGCCCACGCCAACAGTCAACGCCATTGTTATTGCTATTTGCAGATGTCTGGCACGTTCGTGCCGCATTCGACGTGGAGCTGCGTTCACCGTCTTTGGCACCGTAGTCGTCAGATATTCCCAAACCAAATATCATCGAGAAATGTTCTGCCTGAATACCGTAACTTTTGACTCATCAACCCATAAAGATAATGAAGTAGGGCACTGCTCTCACACTATACCAATTAACATCGGGGACTTCGTCAATAGGTGTGCTTGCTGCACCGATTTACAGTTAACATGCAGTCTTGCTGCATGTATGTTTGCTAAAGTCCTTTGCTTCGTCTTAATTAATTTGCATGTATTTTGCTACCCTTGCTGGTTCTAAAAAATGCAATTGTAACATTTTTAAAGAAATTGAGAACTGCAGAAATCCTGATCCAGCACAGGATTCCCCATTCTTTAGAGCGTCTATTCGCCCATCACGTGTATCGTGCCGCTTATTGCCAGCACAGCTCTGTTTAGGCCGACGCCGCGTCACGTTTGTGCATCCCTTGTGCCACGTTGCCACAGATATATTACATGTGCTCTCAAAAAGGACCAATCAGAGTTGTTTGCCAACAACTGCTGTCCCAGGTGAATGGTGTTTGCAAACTGACGACTGGCTGCGTTGGCACCAACGAGACCGCGCTGCGCGCACTTGGTTTATTTCTTTTTCGGGTTGAACGAGTGGCCATCTGTGCGCGCACTTTCGGGTTCATGAACGAGTGTGCGCAGAGTGACTGGCTGCGTTGGCACACACATGAACTTTACCTGGTCACTCGAATCCACGGAGCCCGCCCCGAAAATGGTCAAGTCGTTTTTTTTTCGGGCACCCTGCTTAAGTCATTGAGCGCGTTCAATATATTCACGATCTGCTTTCCCTCCCACGATAAAAGGGTATTCACGGGCGCTTACCGCCCAAAAGTGGCGGAATTCCACATGGAGCAATGCGGTACTGCCGTAGGTCGGGCAGCTGCTTTAGGAGGAAAGAGAGTGGTTGGACCTAGAGATCCAAACCAGACTAGAGGGGTCACTCTGCCTTCCCCATTCTCGAACTCGGGTGAGCCAGACCTCACAGAGGATGCAGAGGAGGCCCTGCTGTTGCGCTTGCTCAAGCGTAAAGCAGCTAGGAAACAGACTGGGAGGAAGCGGAAGACGGGTTCACTGAAGAAGTTACAAAGGCAAACCGCAAACGAACCTCTTAGGACCTCGCCCCATGGCACCGCCGCTGAACCCGAGCCGATGACCGAGACGGAAGCCGCTGATGCACCTGGCACCGTAACGATAGCTGGCCTGCACGGTCAACTCGTAACTTTTCCTGCAGACTCGGAAGCTTTGCGCGGTGGTTTCCATCACTCGCAAGTGGAGGAAGGCGACGATGGAGGCGTTGAGGCAGGCGGCGAGGAGGGCCATGCGGAAAGCGAGGAAGATGACGACCACGAAGGCGAGGAACAAGAGGACGGTGAAGATGCCGCAGGCGATGAGAATCAACAGCAGCCACATTTCGAGCCAGTTCTCCCCGCTGCGCACGCTGGAGCAGCAGTTGGTAACGGGGCTGCGCCGTGTGAAAACCAGGTTCCGATCAGAGGAGCCCGTTCAGCTCGTAAGCACATTGGTCGTAATTTTCACCTTGCTTGTTTCTCTCCTACTCGCACTCAGCTGGTTCCAATGTATTTGTTAGTGATGATGCTGTCTTTGCACACCCGGCGCATAAAGCTTTCTTCCAACGATGCTCAAATTTTCTCGTTGCAGTTCCCGATGCGCATCATGCCGCCATCAACCGACGACTTGAAGCCGAGCTGGAGGACCTGCGCAACACCTTGGCGGTGATGCAGTACAATCAAACGACCCAGCAGCAGATCGAAAAGGAGAGGGATGAGCTGCGTCAAGAGGTTTCGGCGCTTCGGGATGAGATTCAGGCGTTTCGATCCGGAACGCACGCAATAGATGGACCTGATGGCGTGGACGACCCCCGAATCAACATGGACAGGCTGCCGAAGGTGGACGGGAAAATCCACATTCCCACCAGCTTGTCCGACGACGAGGCGTTCGCGGTGAGTGCTTTGCTTTGAAGAGTGATTTACAGTTCTACCCCGATACTAACCGTCACACCTAACCCTGGCCTGACGTCTGTTTCATCTGTTTTTTGTCTCCCGTTCCCTGAAACAAAAAAACGCGCTCGCCGTGTACGTCGGGATGATTACTGCTGGGCCGGCAAAGTCGATGCAGTTCTACCCCGATTGGCCAGACCTGGTTCCTTTGATGGTGCGGAGGTATGTGCGGCTGGGTGTTTGCAAGGACCTGTATTACTTCGTGGCAGGAGGTGACAAGCTAAAGGAGGACGAGGCAATGGATAAGATTGCCAACAAGCGGCAAACTATGAACAAGACTATGAAGCTTTATGGCTGCGGCGCTGGAGGTGGCGTGGCGAAGGAAAGGTGGCACGAGCTCAAGCGGGTCGGCCTGAGGCCGACCGAGTTTAGAGATCCAGTCGTCTGGACGGCTTACTTCAAGGACGGTGAGTCTTTGAGTGTTTGTTAAGCTCCTCTAAACTTTTGTAGCTGCAGTCACTGACGATTGGTTTTTCAACTTCCTTGCAGGAAAATACGGCTCACGATGGCATTGCTCTGCTGAAGGCATACCGTTTGCTAACCTGGCATTTGTGCTGGCTCTCACGAAGGGTTTCTGCAGCAACCAAGCCACAACTTTCCCCCTGAAGATCCCTGGCCTAGGCTATCTCTGCCATGTGGTAAGTGTTTTTCGTATATATATGCTGCAACTTTGTGCTTAAAAGCATCCTGTAATGAACAGTGTTTAACAATACCTTGTGCTTTTTTCCACGTGGAGTGGCCCATGGCTCACTGGAAGGGCAAGAGCTCGCCTTCCCTGGACACAGTCGAGCTCAACAACCGCAACTGTGTGACAGCAAAGACTGCTGTCTGTGCATCCTGGCTGAAGGATTGTCTCGAGAGGAACCCTGCGCTGTTCAAGGCAGATGAGCCGCAGGGTTTTGAGATGTGTGAGGGTTTCAAGGATGGTAACAAGGAGTTTAAAGTGAGGATTTTAATTGAGGGCTGGGAATCCTATTTCTTTCCTCGTGGGGTTCCTCAGGGAGGGGAGTGGCCTGAGGCTTATTAACCTGCTAATTTTGTAACTGCTTTTTTATTGATGGTTTGATTTCTGTTTCAATTTCCTGAAGTAGCTAATAGTAGCATCAATAACAAATGTAGCATTAATTAATTATAAATGTGAATCGTAGCATTATAATAATCATATTTATCGGTAATAGAAACAGTACCTCCGCTATAGACATAATAACACAATAAAACATATTTCACAGTTCAAGGTCCGAGCAATTCGAAATCTAGAACACTGTCGGTGTATTCAGCTGTTACCACGATCGGTTACCTCGTTACGGCGCAGCACGAAGTTCGTCGGGTAACAGTAACCAGTCTCTGGACGAAAATTTCAGGCCCATCCCCCACGACCGAGAAGCAGACGGTAAACTGCCACGCAAGCCCAGTCTGTGGAGGAACATGGGTCAACTCCGGGGGGCTCGGGAAATGGTCAAACACCGAGCACTCCTGAAGCCCCCTTCTTCCGTGATTGCGGGATACTGGCCAACTTGGCGGTGTTGGCGAGAACCTGGCCGATAACTACGCGTCACTGTAGCAGAAAAAGCGGGCGTAACCTCTGGTTCACGCGGTTCGCGGAAAACGGGAAATTAAGCCCATACGCCACTCCATTTACGGGGCACTAGGGAAACGGCCAATTTCAGCTAGTTAGTCGCGTATAATTTCCCAAAAACTGCCATAATTTTTCCCTACATTTTTCTGATGGCCGGGCAGGCTACATACTTCAAGCCACAGCAATAATTACGTTCATTCCATGCCCTCGTCGTTGGTGCCACTTGGCCCACACTTAGCATCCTCCTCTCTCGCACCCCTTCCACTGTTGTCCTCCCATCGCACACCTTCTGATGCCGCGCGACTCGAAGCCTCGCTGGTTGCGTCGGGAAGTGCCATAAGGGGCATTCCACTGCTGCGGTCAAGACTCAGCCCTGTTGGCAAGCGGCAGAATCAAAGAGGGCCAATGGTGGACCCTAGCCCACAATCAGGCCTCGTGCATGCGTTGCTGCTCGTCCATACTGACCCGCAAAGGTCGTTCGCTCCGTGGGCCAGGATTGAACCAAGGTCGATAGATACAAGATTATCCGGGTTTCACCTTTCTTTCAAGAGACGGTTTATCTAAAGTTAATTTCTTGCTAGATTGTCCTGGACTCTCGTGACTGCTGACCCATTCGAACACCGTGGTGGTACCGCTTTCAAGAACCGCAGTTTGGTCGCCATGCCGCATTCATCAGAAGCCGTTGACTCACCGCCGGTCTCGCAACCCTCGTCGCCGCTCGGAATGCAGCCATGGTCGCGAGAGGTGGGTCGCGAGAGGCGGTGGGTCGCGAAAAGAGTGTTCAGAGGAGAATCTCTCAAGCCCTCCGATTTTCCTTGCTATGTTGGAGCGATTTAAATACCAGTGCGTAGAACACGCTTAGTGTGCCTTGGGCCGCCGCGGTCTTTACGCTCACTGCTCATGATGGCAATGCTGTCACCCTCCCTCACTCTCACGGCAGGAGGACGCCGTTCTGTTGCGCCACGCGCTGCAGTGCAGCACGAAGCAGTGGGGCGAGCTGGAGAGGAGCGGTCAGCTCAAGAGGAGCAACAAGTCGTGCTGTAACCGTTACAGCTTCCTCCGAAGGTAGTACCCGTTCATGCCGCATGCATAATTTCTTGAGCTCAGGTTTCTTGATACGCGTGAGCGTTTCTAACACACTTCCGCCTTTCGTAACACCTCAGCCTTTCTGCTCTGTGGCCGTGCGTTGATGGCAGGAAGTTCACTCAGCACTTTCGCGAGAGCTTCCTGAGAAATCACCTGGGAGGTGCTGCGTTCCTCCAGGGCGTTTTATTGGACGGAGACAGTTCGCAGCTGCTCTGTCGGGATTTCCTGCAGCAGCAGCAGCAGAGTCCGGAGCGCGTGGGTTCAGCTGCTCTCGCGTTCGGAGGGCTGTTGTTTGATGAGTGCACGGCCGTCTTCTTTGCCCCCAACGCACGCTGCTGCCGCCAAGCACCCTCACTGAACCTCTCTTCTCTCGCCAGCCCCCCTGCCTCCCAAGCCGCCAGCGTCTCTGCCACTGCGGCTGCTTCTATTGCCGAGTTTCCAGTGTCCCATCCCGTTGCTGCTGCCACCAATGCTGCTCCGCGTCGTGCGCTGAAGCGACCAAGGGACGACTCCCCCACGCTTGGGGCACAGCAACCGCTGCTCGGAGGGCGCGAGAGCTGCTTCGTGCCAAGGAAGTTGGTGCGAGGCGGGGTGTTGCAAAGCACGGAGCGCCTTCAGTCAGTGGCAGAGCTGTTTGAGCAACAGGGGGCGAGCAGCCGCGCACAGGCAGCGGACGAATCCCTTCTGGAGGCGCTGCTGCAGGAGGAGCATCGCCAGCAGCAGCAGGGAGGAGTGGGTAGCAAGGTGCAGCGGGTGTTGTGGCCGCGCGTTGGGTCGGAGAGTGCCCTTCCAGACGACGTGCAGCTGGGGTGCAGCAGTGACAAACCTGCCTCCAGGCAACGAGGTGCTCCGTATGCTCCTCTGCCCACCCAGCCGCACGAAGCACTGGCAGCGTCAATGCCTTCCCAGGTCGCTGCTCTGCCTGGCACCGCTCCCTGCTTTGGCAATTCCACGCCTTGCTTTGGGGATTTCACTCCTTGCGTTGGGGATTTCGCAGTGCACCAGGAGGAGTGGCTCCGCGTTGCGTTAGAGAGTGCCCTTCCAGACGACGTGCTGCTGGGACTCTGCTGCGAGGACCCTCCCTCTGCGCAACGTTCTCCTCTGTCTGCTCCTGCACCCGCCCAGCCATTCGCAGCACCGATGCCCTCGCCGCTCGCTGGTCTCCCTAGCCCCGCTCGTGGTAGCGCGAGCAGGCACGTTACAGCGATGCTTGCCGGGAGTACCTGTGGCACGCAGGAGCAGGAATACCTGGATTCATGCTTCGACATGCTCGGCAACATAACCAACACTGACAACAATGACAAGCACAGTGGCAGGGACAACGGTGCGCTCTTTCTCGACACGCCCGTGGCTCACGTGCTGCTGGGTGGGAGTGCCCTCGCCGTGCCCTTGGCGAGTGGACCTCAGGCTGAGGGGCCTGCCATCCCACGTGCTGCTGCCACAGCCCTGCCAGAGTGGGCGGAGGAGCAGGGAGCGGTCGGGGAGGGAGTCGCCAAGGGGCACAGGCAGCAGCAGTTTCTCACCCAGGAGGGCGTGCTTGCGCAGTGGAAGCCTTGTCAGTACCTTGAGCTTGACCGCATGCTCTCCCTGCCACCGCACCAGCCATAGCTGCAGTCACAGCCACCGCCACAGCTGCTCCCAAAGCCACTCTTACAGTTATCGACACACGCGCCTTGGCTGTTTGTGCCTTCTCAACATCCAAGGTCTCCATTGAATGTGCGTTCAACCCCAAGAGGGTTGCACTTGCAAGTTCCCATACAGCCACGCCCGGCCGTGCTGCAGCCCATCCCCACTGATGGTGATTTACTGGCTCTCTGCAGCCCCTTACTTCCTCCGTTGCCTGGCATGACCGTTACATGAGGAGGCGACGGCATGCCCTGAATGCCACAGCTGGTCATGAGCTCAGCTTGGGTGTGCGTGCGCTGCCCGACTCGACTAATCTTTTCAAGGAGGAACGAATTTGACACTAACGGAGATGGGGTAATGATTGACTACAACAAGAATGTTGTCCTTGAGCACTTGGACTTCACAGACAGCCGTTCTTCCAGATGGGATGCCTCCAGGCTTCATCCCAGTATACACACATGTTCGTTCGTCATTCTAAGAATGCACAGCATTCTGTCTTTGACACTGAGTTGCTAAACTGAGGCTAATACTACTGGTATAGTTGTGCCTTCTGACTTTGTAATGTAACATTGTATGTTTTTACCTGGCAATTGCTTCTAACAGTTGTAATTGTTGAATTGTATTTGCATACCTTATAACTGCCTACAGTTAGCTAGTGTACTAGATTAGTTATTAGATACCAACTGCTGGTGGTGTACCCTTTCCCCTTCCCCTTCTTCCTATTTGTACTCCCAATCTCATAATGAAACCCTCTCTCTTTGGCCAATCTTCTCTCCCTCTTGATACCATCCTACGCCTAAGTCCTAAACCCTAAGCTCCTTATCTTAACAGTAATATCCACGTCACATTCACTTTCCTGGACCGTTGTTTTGGAGGCCCCTGCGGATTCGCAGTGCCCAACCGCAGGCCCATGTGCTGATGCTGAGCTGGTAGGGATAGAGTCACCTGCCTGAATCACAAACCTTAAAGCATGACCGCAACTCAAGTCCCGCACCGGTGCCTCCAATGGCCTGTAGTACGGTACACGCCCTCAACTCAACCCCAAGGGGCTCGCACATGCAAGCTCCCTTACTGCCATGCCCTGTCATGCTGCTGCAGCCCCTCTCCTCTGGTGCTCTACCATCTCTCTGCCACCTCTCAGAGACTGAGATACTACAGAGATTGATCCTTAGGGTAAGGAGGGGGGATACAAGAAGAGATTTTCTGTACCCCCTAAGATGCACCCCACTACAGCATATCTAAATCGATACAAACATAGTTTGACACCACCCCTACATCTCAGGTTTCAAAACCCGGTGCACCAGGGCGTGCCGAGGCATTCCGCAGCATATTTCCTGCATTCGTTAGAGGGAAGACGTTGGAGGGTTGGTACTGTTTGCAGCAAGAACGAAAAGAGTTTGTTGGCTCCAAGTTGACATGGTAGTGTACAGTACAGTGCGGTGCGCTGCGCTGAGAAATAAATGTTCAAACCCCATGCGAGCACCCACCACCACTCTCACATTGGCCAGAAAGGTGACCTTCATTCTCGGGAAGAGGTAGGCATAGCAGACACCTCCACTTGGCTGGTGCTGCTGACGAGCGGCAGACATGAGTCCTGCGCAGCGTTCGCCTAGCCCCTGACTGCCTGTATTGCACGCCATAATTCCCAAGATAGTATCGGCTCCTCCTTCAGTCTTGCTCGTGTTGCGGCATTCAGTAGCAATTGCCTGCCAGGTCAACAATGTCTTCCCCTTCCGCCGGTGTGCAGTGCACCTGGATTGGATGTGCGAGCTGGCCGGGAGGCCGATAGGAGCTGGCAGCTGCAGCCAGCGGCGTCGTTTGTCTCTATCCACTACCCGATTTCGAACGAAACGCCAACGTATGGACAGTTTTCACCGCTGGCCGGTGTTCACATGCCTCGTATCACAGACGACCCCCGCCATTCCACACGCATGTGACAGGCCGATTTCGAGAGGATCATCAGATGCTAGTGTGCTTTATATTATTAAATATCAGGTCGCCTCCTCCTATTGGAGGGTTCACGTCCGGAAATGTCGGACATCAATCCACAACTAAGCGAGTGCAATGATTACCGGTACCCCTTCTCGTCAACCCACTTGGCCACACTTCACCGCGACATCCTTGCGCGCGCATCGCATCGCATCACCACCTTCCAGCTACACTCCGTCGCACACCTCCTTCCACGCGAGTCGCCAGCTGCGCGCGTTTGACGAAGAAATGCGGCGAGAAAGCATCCCTCGCATGCCAAGTCAAGAAGAAACCCTGTCGCTTCCAATCACGCTTGGGCTTTGTGCATGGGTTGATGACGTCGCTCCATTCCCTCTTGAAGAGGGATAGAGTCTTGCGAGACTCAAAGTCATGCTTTCGTCAGTTAGCTTTCATGTCTGAAAACCAGCACTACTACCACCGCTATCACGAGCAGCTCGACCGCTGTTGCAACCGTTGCACTATAGGCTGGGCTAGTGTTAAGGCATCCGCTGCGCCTAAAGAGCAACCTCGTTTTGGCTCAGCGAGGCGTTATAGCCGTTATGCCGCATTCCTCTGAAGCCGTTGACTCCCCGACCTCGCAATCTCAATCCTCCTCGCCCCGCATGCAGCCATGGTCGCCAGAGGTGGGTTTCCAGAGGTGGGTTGCAAGAGGCGGTCGCGGCGAGGGGTGCGTCCGGAAGATTTCAAGATCCACCGGATTCTAGGCTTGAAATGGGATTCAGAAATCAATTTAGCATTTCCCCTGTTATGTCAGCATTCACACCCCAATGCCGCTCATCATGGGAATGCCGCACTCGCTCTGTCTTTCCCTCCGCTGCGCACTAGGTGGGCAGGAGGACGCGGTGCTGCTGCGCCACGCGCTGCAGTGCGACACGAAGCAGTGGGGCGAGCTGGGGAGGAGCGGCAGCTCAAGAGGAGCAACAAGTCGTGCTGTAACCGTTACATCTTCCTCCGAAGGTAACCCATGCTTCATGCCACATTTGTGGTTTTCTGAATCCAGGCGTCTTGATACCCGTGAGCATTTCTAACACGCCTCAGCCTTCCACGACGCCTCTTCTCTCCTGTGGCCGTGTGCTGGTGGCAGGAAGTTCACAGACCGCTTTCGCCAGAACTTCCTGCGAAAGCACCTGGGAGCTGTTGCACTCCCGCAGCACAATCCATTGGACGGCCACAGACAGTCGTTGCTCTGTCAAGATCGCAAGCAGCAGCAGTCGGAGCATTCGGAGGGCGTGGGAGCAGCAGCCCCGGCGTTCGGAGGGCTGTTGTATGAGGAGTGCGTGACGGCGTTCCTCGCCCCCCATGCTCGCTGCTGCCTCCCACCCGCCCCACCCAACCTCTCATCCCTCTTCGCCACCCCTCCCCTTGCTTTCCAAGGTCCTCCTCCTGCTTCCCAAGCTCCTCCACCTGCTTCCCAAGCTCCTCCTCCTGCTTCCCAAGCTCCTCCTCCTACTTTCCAAGGTCCTCCTCCTGCTTCCCAAGCTCCTCCACCTGCTTCCCAAGCTCCTCCTCGTACTTCCCAAGCTCCTCCTCCTGCTTCCCAAGCTCCTCCTGCTTCCCAAGCTCCTCCTCCTGCTTCCCAAGCTCCTCATCTTGCTTCCCAAGCTCCTCCTCCTGCTTCCCAAGCTCCTCCTCCTGCTTCCCAAGCTCCTCCTCCTGCTTCCCAAGCTCCTCCTCCTACTTCCCAAGCTCCTCCTCCTGCTTCCCAAGCTCCTCCTCCTGCTTCCCAAGCTGCCCCCTTCTCTGCGGCTGTCGCGTCTACCACGGAGTGCCCATTCGCCCGTCATGCCGTCCCTGTTGCTGCTGCCTCCACCGCCGCTGCTTTGCATCGCCCAGCGAAGCGACCACTGGGCGACAGTCCCGGGCTGACGGCAGGCCAACCGGTGCATGGGGGAAACGGGAGCTGGGTGGTGCGAGGCGGGGTGGCGTTTGGCACGGAGCGCCGGCGTCAGTCAGTGGCAGATCAGTTCCAGCAGCAGGGGGCGAGCAGCCGCGTGCAGGAGAAAGAGGAAGCAACCCTTCTGGAGGCGCTGCTGCAGGAGGAGCATCGCCAGCAGCAGCAAGGAGGAGCGGGTAGCAGGGCGCAGCGGGTGCTGTGGCCGCGCGTTGGGTCGGAGAGTGCCCTTCCAGACGACGTGCTGCAAAAATCTAACAATGGGGTCCCTTCACGCAACGCGCCGCTCTATCTGTTTCTCCGCCCTCCCAACTCGTTGCTTTGCCCGGCTCCACTCCGCGCAATGGTGATTCCACTACCTGGTGTGGGGATTTTGCTCCCTGCATTGAGGATTTCGCTCCCTGCATTGAGGATTTCACAATGCACCAGGTGAACTGGCCCCCCGTTGGGTCGGAGAGTGCTCTTCCAAACGACGTGCTGCTGGGACTCAACCGTGAGGACCCTGCTTTCATGCAAGGCACCGCTTTCTCTGCTCCTCTGCCAACCCAGCCACTCACAGCGCTGCCATTAGCACTGCTCCCCAAACTCGCTGCTCTGTCTGGCTCCGCTCCCTGCATTGGGAATGGTTCCACACTGCAGCGGGTGGAGTGGCCGCGCATTGGGTCGGAGAGTGCCCTTCTAGACGGCGTGCTGCTGGGACTATGCTGCAAGGGCCCTGCCTCCGCACAACGTGCTGCTCTCTCTGCTCCTCCGCCCACCTAGCCAAGCGCACCCGCTGCTCTTTGTGCCTCCGCTCCCGGCAGCACGAGCGGTTGCATTGCAGCGATGCTTGCGGGGAGTACGTGTGGCACTCAGGAGCTGGAATACGTTGATGCATGCATCGACGCGCTCTGGAACGGAAGCAACACGGACAACAACAGCAACGGCGCTGACAACGGGGGCATTGAAAACCACAGTGACAGGGACAAGGGTGCTCTCTTTCTCAACACGCCTGTTGTTCATGTGCTACTGAGTGGGAGTGCCCTCGCCTTGCTCTTGCCCAGTGGGCCTCAGTCTCAGGGGCCTGCACCCCGTTGCGCTGCTAGGACAGCCACAGGTGCTGCTGGGACTGCCCTGTCAGAGTGGGCGGTGGAGCAGGGAGTGACCGCGAAGGGAAGTCGCCAGCAGCACTTTCTCACCCAAGAGGTCACGCTTGCGCAGTGGAGTGCTCGTCAGCACTTAGATCTTGAGAAAATTGTCTCACTGCCACCGCACCAGCCACAACCACAACCACAGCCATTGCCAATGCCACTGCCACCAACGCCATGGCTGAGAGTGCCTTGTCAACTTCCACTGGGCCCAGGCGCCGCCAATGGCCTTTACACGGCCTCAAACCCAAGGGGCTCGCACATGCAAGCCCCCATACTGCCGCGCCGTGCCGTGCTGCAGCAGCCCTTCTCCTCTGGTGCTCTGCCATCTCTCTTCCACCCCCCTGTTGCCTCCTGTCATGGGATCAGCTTGGATGTGCGCGGCTCTACTGATCTGTTCAGCGAACAACTTACTCGATTCTGACAGGGATAGGGTTATGAGTGACCAAAAGATTGCTGTGCATACGGCGCATACTTCTTCTGACCGTATTAAGATTGCAAAACGTTTTGCTGACTTGCTCACAACAGATGCTGTCAAGTGAAGAATGTGTAAATAATTGTGTAGCTTCTTTTGTATGTATTCAACGGCAACAAGTAAAGAGTATTGCACTAACGGGGTAAAATTAGTACGGTACAATGCGTGGGTAGATGGGCGCATAAGCATCTCATCTCCACGTTATCCTATCCATCTCCTTTAACACTTGGAGCAATCCCCCTTTCATGCATATGGTTGTTGGCATTGTGAAAGATTGTGGGAAGTACATTTATGGCGTATACATATATGTTACTGTGTTTTGTAGTGGAACTGTTGCACACATTGTTGACTCGTATGCTGACGCTAAGGAGTACATATTGTTGACTCTTTCAGGGGGAGAAGCGGGCATTCTTCAAAAGAATAGGCATTGACCGCACATTCGATTTTAGCACAACTTGACACAGTGCATCTTAAAATGAATGATTATTTTCATCCCACGCGAGTACAACACCCACACACGCAGAAGAGGCAGCCACACACACACCTCACCACACAGTCAAGGGTACAACAGTTGGCCGGTCCTTAAAGTGCTATTGCACGCCATAACCCTCAAGATAGTATCCGTTCCGTTTCCAGCCTTGCTCGTGATGCGGCATTCAGCAGCAGCTGCTTGTTGCTTGATGCTTGCCAGGTCAACAATGTCTTCTTTCGGGCACCTGAAGTGGTTGGAGGTGGGCCAATCGGTTTTGTGCAGCTTCAGCCAGCAGCTTCGTACGAAACGTCCGATGGTGTAGTGTTGTCTCTATATCAACTGTCCGATTCGAACAATCCCATGCGTTAGGACAGATTTCAAAGCTGACCGGTGTTCACGTGCCTCGTGTCGCACGACGGACTCCTCCCATCCACAGAGGCCGATTTTGAAAGGACCATCCGTACAGAGTACTTTATCCGATTCAGTACAAGGTTCCAACTTCTATTGGAGGGCGTGAGAGCGAGAATGCCGGAAATCAGGCTACAACTAGGCGAGTGCAATGATTTCTGTGGTACCCCTGCTCGTCAATCCACTGGTCCGCACATTTGTGACGTCACCCGCTTCCACCTGCCCTTCTGTGCGGAGAGGCTCCTTCCGTCGCACACCTCCTGCCCCGCGAGTCGCTAGCTGCGCGCGTTTGAGTTGGAAATGCGACGAGAAGGCAAGGCGAAGCCATGCCACGAATCGTCCACATTTGGCATTTCTCGCCCGAGGCGGCAAGGCTCACAGCCCCGGGGGTGAACCCCAGCTCGGGGGGCATGGCAAGCCTGGGTCTTCTGGGTCATTCCGTTCCCTCTTGAAGAGGGATACCATCCAAAAATGGGAATGCAATAATCACTCTTACTCATGTTTTCGTCAGTTGCCTGCCCGCCATGTCCCATTCCTTTGAAGCCGTTGCCTCGCCTTCTTCGCAATCCGCGTCGCCCGGCATGCAGCCATGGTCGCGAGAGGTGGGTTGCGAGAGGTGCTGGGTCGCGAAAAGAGCGTCCAAGTTCCTCTGGATTTTAGTAGGGTTGAAAAGTGATTCCGAACCAGGATTCAATGTTGCAAGTCCTTCCTTGTTATGTTGTGGGATAGTACTCTCCTTTGTGCGTCAGGACACATTAGTGTGCCTTGAGAATGCCGCTCATCGGAATGCCGCACTCGCTGTCTTTCCCTCCGCTGCGCACTGGGTGGGCAGGAGGACGCGGTGCTGCTGCGCCACGCGCTGCAGTGCGGCACGAAGTAGTGGGGCAAGCTGGAGAGGAGCGGTCAGCTCAAGAGGAGCAGCAAGTCGTGCTGTAACCGTTACATCTTTCTCCGAAGGTATCCCCGCATGCCTCCGAATGTAACCGTCTTGGTACGCCTGAGCATTTCTAACACCTCTCCTCTCCCGTGGCCGTGTGGTGATGGCAGAAAGTTCACAGAACGCTTACGCCAGAACCTCCTTCTAAAGCACCTGGGAGTTGCTGCATTCCCCCAGGCCCATGTTTCATTGGACGGCCACAGTCGGCCATTGCTCTATCAGGATTTGAAGCAGCAGCAATCGGAGCATTCGGAGGGCGGGGGAGCAGCAGCCCTGACGTTTGGAGGGCTGTCGTATGAGGAGTGCGTGACGGCGTTCCTCGCCCCCCATGCTCGCTGCTGCCTCCCTCCCGCCCCGCCCAGCCTCTCATCCCTCGCCGGCCCTCCTCCTGCTTCCCAGACTTCTTTTCCTGCTTCCGAAATTGCTGCGTTCTCCGCTGCTGCTGCTTCTACCACCATCAGGTTTCCAATCTCCCATGAAGCCTTCCCCGTTGCTGCTGCCTCCAACGCCGCTACTCTGCGCCGTGCGTTGAAGCAACCAAGAGACGACTGTGAGTGGAGGGGGGCCGACCAACGTCTGCCGGGTGGACGTGACAGCCGGTTGGTGCGAAGCGGGTTGGTGAGGAACGGGATGGTGAGAGACGGGATGACGTGTAGCACGGAGCGCTGGCACCAGTCAGTGGCACAGCAGTTCCAACAGCAAGGGGCGAGCAGCTGCATGCAGCAGCAAGGGGAGAGCAGCTACATTCAGCAGCAGGGGGAGAGCAGCTGCATGCATCAGCAGGCATCAGAAGAAGCCCTTTTGGAGGTTGTGCTGCGGGAGGAGCATCAAGGAGGATTGAGGAGGACCAGGGTGCAGCGGGTGTTGTGGCCCCGAATCGGGTCAGAGAGTGCCCTTTCAGATGATGTGCTTCTGAAATTCGACAATGGGGTCCGTGCCTTCACGCAACGCACTGCTCTATCTTCTCCTCCGCCCACCCAGCCGCCCAAACCTCTTCCGTCGTCAATGCCCCCCCAACTCGCTGCTCTGCCTGGTTCCGCTCCCTGCACTGGTAGTTCCACCCCCTGTGGGGATTTTGCGATGCAGCGGGTAGAGTGGCCGCTCGTTGGGTCGGAGGGTGCCCTTCCAGACAACGCGCTGCTGGGGTGCAGCAGCGACGAATCTGCCTTCATCCAGCGCTCTGCTCTTTCGGCTCCTCCACCCACCCTGCCTCTCGCAGTGCTGCCAGCGCCAATGCCGCCTCAGCTCGCTGCTCTGTCTGGCTCTGCTCCCTGCATTGGGGATTTCGCAGTGCACGGGGAGGAATGGCTCCGCGTTGGGTCAGAGAGTGCCCTTTCAGACGACGTGCTGCTCGGACTCTGCTGTGAGGACCCTTCCTCCGCGCAACCTGCTGCTCTCTCTGCTCCTGTGTTTGCTCCTGCGCCCACCCAGCCACTCGCAGCACAGATGCCCTCGCCCCTCGCTGGTCTGCCTGGCCCCGCTCGTGGCAGCTCGAGCAAATGCGTTACAGCGATGCTTGCCGGGAGTACGTGTGGCACACAGGAGCTGGAATACCTGGATGCATGCATTGACATGCTCAGCAACATAACCAACACTGACAACATTGACAAGCACAGTGACAAGCACAGTGGCAAGGACAAAGATGCTCTCTTTCTAGACACGCCCGTGGCTCACGTGCTGCTGGGTGGGAGTCCCCTAGCCGTGCCCTTGGCAAGTGGACCTCCCGCTGGGGGGCCAGCCGTCCCACGTGCTGCTGGGACAGCCCTGCCAGAGTGGGTGGAGGAGCAGGGAGGGACCGGGGAAGGAGGTGGTGAGGGGCACAGGCAGCAGCAGTATCTCGCCCAGGAGAGCTTGCTCGCGCAGTGGGAGCCTTGTCAGTACCTCGAGCTTGACCGCATGCTCTCCCTGCCACCGCACCAGCCACAGCTTCATTCACAGCCACCGCCACAGCTACTCCCAAAGCCACTCTTACGGTTACCAACACGAGTGCATTGGCGGTCTGTGCCTTGTCAACGTCCAAGGGCTCCATTGAACGCGCATTCGACCCAAAGAGGGTCACACATGCAAGTTCCCATACAGCCAAGCCCGGCCATGCTGCAGCAGCACTTCCCCATTGGTGCTCCACCGGCTCACTGCAGCCCCATGCTCCCTCCGTTATCTGACATGACCCTTACATCAGGATGCGACAGCATACCCTGAATGCCACAGCTGGTTATGAGCTCAGCTTCGGTGTGTGCTGCTGCTCGACTCGGACTTATCCTTTCAAGGAAGAACGGATTTGATACTAACAGGGACGGGTTAATGATTGACGGGCTTGCCCGGTCCATTTGGTGAAACATGGTA